ACATTAGTTCTTACTTTCCACCACTACAAAAGCTCCCTACATACCAGATTCTTGCTTTTTTATTCTTTGGCTAGTTACCAATTTAAATTACTCATAAAAAAAATAGTAGTCATGTTAGTCATGGGAAAGAAATCCCAAAGCTATGAGAGTATTACATGACTTAGGCCAATAGTTGTTAAGGTTTGTTTGCAATGCTCACTCCAGAGACATTATTAAAAAGGCTTTTATGAAAGCTGAGTATAAGTCTACCAAATTATCTGTATGTACATAAATCTTGGAAAAAATTTTTGAGATGCAGGTCTTTCCTTTGCAAAAATAATCCTTATTGTCCTCAATACTCAATACTTTCTGCCCTTCTAGAGTCTTAAATAATTCCACTGATAATGATGGGTCCTGACTCCTGCTACTAAACTGGAATCTAACCTAGCTGGCTTATGATCCTCTGTATTTTCTTTTTTAAAACCACTATGTTATTCAGAAATTTCTAATGTGTGTACTTTCTCCTCAGAAAGTTTGCAAAGTCACAGAATTTGAGTTCTTAAATAAATAATCTTAGAGGAATATCATTCAAACCCAATTCTAATGGACTTTTAATTTGTTGGTATACCCTAACACTTTTAATTTTATTCTATTTCATTCAGTAATATTGCTGATTTAAATTTATCTATAAATTTATCTTTATTAAAGATAAATATGTATTTACTTATTTGTTCACACCTTCATTATTTTACAAATAACTCAAGGTGGCAAACATATCCAACACCTTCCTCTTCCTATTTTCCCCACAACAACAACAACTCTGTGAGATATGGTGGACTGAGAGAGAGTGAAGGTTACCCAGCTGGCTTTCTTGACAAAGTTGGGACTAGAACTCACAGTCTCCCACTTCCCAGCCTGGTGCAATAACAAACTGGCTCGAGGCTCTTAAAATGTATTCAGTGTCTATGCAATCTTCCTTCTGTATTATTTTAACTTTTCTGCCAACTTACAATTTTTCCGGCTCCATTTTGAACTAACAAACTAAATACTTACAGTGAGCATTCATTATTTTTAACAAAATGTTTGAATCATCACTGCCACTGCTGATGTTCATTTAGTTACTATATTTTGCACATTTTATTTCTTTCATAAACATCAATTTTCTTTTTTAAAAATTAAAAATTGACCCATTACTCAGCTCGTTGATTATAATTTTCTTATTTTCTTGCATTTACTGCATTGCTAGCTCTATTTCTTTCTTTAGTGTTTTTTCCAAAGGGTCATACGCTTGGCAGAGATATTGGCTTGAAAGAAAGCTGAGAAGGCCTAACCAATTACCAAGTGAAGGAAAGTTTATTAACGTCTCAAGTGTCAGTTTTATATCCTAAGTTCCAAGTGCAAATCAGTTGATTCCAGTGACTTAATTCTGATTGTAACCTTAGTAAGGAACAACAGTAGCTCCCAAAATAGTCATTACTCCAAAGGAGCATTTCCTTTCACTGGCATGTCCTTCTATGGCCTTGTAGACTAGGAAGTTGAGTCTAGATCTGGACCTGAGATATCAGTTCCTTCTTCACCTGGCTCCTGGACCCATTAGTCTCCAGAGCTTCTTCAGCTGCTTCTTATTCTCTGAGGATGAATCTGTGATGTGTTTCTTCCATGACATCCTCCTGAGAAGGGTTCTTCTATATTAGGTTCATGCACATGTGCTGTAGCTGCACAATACATTCACAGATATAAATAACATTCATTTTTGCTAAAAAAAAAACCCAAAACCTTAATATCAATTTAGCCACTGGAAATGAAAATAGTAAAACCCACCCATTATTACAAGGTAGGATTTTTATTATTTTTATTTTTTGCTTTGTTCTACTTGCCTGACTTCTTTATTTAATGATCATTATAACATTTTGGTCTAACAATCTAATATTTTATTCAGTGTATAAAAAGATCTGGTTTTGTTATCGGAAGCTTTGTGGAACAGTTTGCTCCTTTTATATTTTCTAAATCATTGTATTTGTTGTTCATTTGTTGCTCATATATCCTTGAATATATGCCCTTCTTTTACACAGTTTATACCTAGAAATAATTGTGGACAGAATAATTCTGTCCAGTCTACCAATTTTCTCATAAGTGTGCCATCTTGTTCTTATTTCTTATAGAAACAGGCACTCCATTTTTAATGTCAAGATTGGAACTCTTTAGTTTTATCATATAAAATACATGAACGTTATTAAAGAAGCAGTTTGCCTTTTTAAGTATATGCTATAGTTCTATTGTAGGATCACAAGACAACTGATTATAAAGATTTTGTTAGGAACACATTTAAGAAAACAAATTGATTTTCAGATCGGAGTACAACTCAGAATCTAAAAGATTTTTAAAATCTATTCATATTTCTGTGGTTTGGTTGTCTGTAGATGTACTTCAGTAATGTTAATGCCATTTACAATCTAGAAGATTCTTTTCTTCTTTTGTTTCTTTGTACCATACATACCTTTAAAGGCTATTACGAGATCTGCTCCTTCTATAATTGATGTTCTGCTGTTTGGAAATTTTATCTATTTTGTTATCCATAATAGGCAACTTGTTCTGTAATACACTCTGAGATAGGGAATGCACCACTTTCTTTTAAGTTTTGCAAGATTGGTTGTTTTTCCCCCCTGCTCCATATGCACACTAATTGTTCTTTGCCAATCAGAAAAGGATTTATGTAAACTGGCTAACAAGTAGCCAGCATCTGTCCATGACCTAGAGTTACTCAGTGTTTTCACTAATGCAACTAACTCCATAAAAGTCACCTCAGGCACTAGTTATATTTTCAAAACAAAACTCTTAAGAATATTTCTTGCAGAACTCAGATTCACACTGATTCTATGTTTAGCATCTAAAAATGGTATAATATCTGTTACATCATGATTGTTCCATTATGTAGTTCCTTACCAGATATTAGATTAAACTTTGTCTTTTGGGACAAATGAAAATTAAGCCAGGAAAATATGGTCAAATTCACTGTTATGGCTTATTTGAGTTGCTTTGTTCTTTCAGCTTTTGCCTTTGCCTTTCTAAGCTTTTCCAACTAAGTAAATCTTCAACCATTTGATTCTAAGTGCCGTCGCAAATAAGATTCCGCATTGCTATGGAATAATCAAATTACATCTGATTGTGAATATTATCTGAAATTGCTCCCAATAACTTAACTGAGGATTCAACAGATGCTTTCTAGAAATTACTTTAAGAAAACATGATTCCACACTCTGTCCATGTAGATGGTTTGGGAAGATCATGTATCCCATTTTCTGTTTTATTGCCTTTTGTTTTCAGATATTCAATCTAATGAACGGATTGATTTCAAACTGATCTCTTAAGACAATTGGTATCACCTTAGTATTCAGAAAATTATTTGTTGTTGTTGTTTTTACTTCTCTGAATAGCAGTCAAGCCTCTTGGCAACAAGACATTTTGTCCTGTCAGCTTATAAAGTCCAATCTAAATGTTTATCGTTTCCCCAGTTTAATGAATAAGTCAGGATTTACCTAATATGAGTAATTTTTTCTTGTAATCATGTAATCTATATACTTTTTATAACCTATAACAACCGGGGGAAATCCCAGGGCTTTGTGCTAAATTGAGAAATATGGCAAAATAAGGAAGTGGTAAATTACTTGCATATTGTTGTCCAAGAAAACTGCATGGTTATACGAAGCTCAAATCAAGGCAATCTTTACCTCATGACAAATAATAAATAGTTGTATTGGTTATACAGTACCAGATCCTGGAATCAAGTGGTTAAATTATAAATATTTTAATAAAATAAATAGGCCCACCACATCTCATCTTTTTATGTAAATCCATATATATGTAAATTCATATAGGAAAAGAATATTGATGAATCAATAAAGGCAAAGTTATTTAATATATTTATGTTTTGTTACTTTTCTTCTGCAGTTATCTTCTGTATTTTCTCCTATCCTTTGAGGGAAAGTATCTCTTCTGAAAAGAAGAGATCCACTTTAGGTATGTATTTGAATAAGGTACGTATGCATACAATATATATATATATTTACATGCTGTATTGCAAGTGTTCTTTTAGTGAATGTGCCTGTCATAGGAAAAAAAATAAACTTATAATTTCATTCAGAAAAACTAAAATAGAAAAACAAGGGTAGATACTTAAGTTTGTGGAAGTTGTATATTGAGTTAATAGTGCTTTTTGGCCAGTGATTCCCAAACTGTCATATGTAAGAAACAGAAGTGCTTTCTTTTCTGTCTTCCAAGGTTGTTGGTACATTATAAGAATCCCAAAGGTGCATTTTCAGGGGGCAACTAGACTTTCTTGTTTTGTTTTTTTCTTTTGAAGACATTTTGCTTCTTGGATAAGAAGCAAAACATCTTCAAAATAAAAAGCAAGAAAGTCCAGTTGCCTCCTCAAAAAGCACCTTTGGACAACCATGACCTGGATGACTGAGAATCTCTACAGACTTATGTTATAAGAAGCATAACTTTCTCTTGTTTCTGTCCATATATGGGCAATTACATCACTATAACAAATAAAGATCAGCCTGTCCTGCAGTTAACTGAAAAGTAGGAATTTCATAAGCATTAATTATGTTCAAGTAGCATATCTTGTACATATCTTAGTAAGTATAGTCTCAACATATTTGACACTATTTTTGTCTAGAGGGCTTTAAAACCACCTTTCAACCTTATGTAGAAAGAGAGTAGTACCCAAATATCATTTTGGCAATCCCTAAGTACAAAGGACTATTCTGACAACTTTTTAAATGTTACAGCATAGTAAATATTATATTATTATTATTAGTAGTAGCAGTGGTGGTATTGTTAAATTTTTAATCTGCCTTCAGATTATACTCCAGTCTGAATCTCATAAATGTTCTCCATATACCAGACATTTGTGAATCACTCTGTGTGTGTGTGTGTGTGTGTATTTGCCATCATAATTAAGATATATTATGTATGAAAATGCAGTAGGCATTATTTATATCTAATGTGATATAATATTAGACAGATACTTTTGCATGCTAAAAAAGAATTTGTAGGTTTATTAGACCTTCATTATTTTGTTTAATGTGTGTGTGTTTTCTTCATTGAATATATCCAAAGCAGTTTACATATGAAAATTATACATTTTTTTCAGTAAGGAGACAGGTCATCTGAAGCCTTTACAACTAATTTCCTATTTGTAATAGCATTAGTGAACTTAACTAGTTAGGAACTTGACCTATTAAATCTACACTAGAAGTGTTTATAACTATGACACACACCAAGACATCATTATTTTAACATATGTTTTGCTAGATCGCTTATCTACAAATGGATAATTTAGTTTAACAATGACTGATAAGCTTGTGTTCAACTCACTGAGTTAATTCTGGAAATACAATAACATAATTTCAGGTTGTGTCTATACTATACAGTACATTATTTGAGGGTTTTTTTAAAAGTAATTAACATAAATCTATTTTGAATAAAACTGCAGTAACATAAACAGTCAGCAAGAGGAAGTTTAATTTGTTAATACCCAGTCGTAACTTAGTCAAAATTGTTCTTGCTAAGTATAATCAGAAAGGATGTGTGCGCACGCAGAAATCTCATTCGTGCCAGTGAGAAGTTTTGTTTTGTTTTGTTTTTTCTTAGTGTAATTTGTTTTGTGAGATAAGACTTATGAAATTGAGTAATGGGAGGGAAAGAACTAAATAATGTGATTGAGTCCTGTGTGCTATGATTCTGAGTCAAAATAGACTGGTCATCTTTATTGTTATATTTCTTTTTTAATCCATGAAGTGCTATTGCTTTGAATGTTACATTTGTTATGTCCATCATTGGGTTGATACAGTTCAATTTTCAATTTTGACACAGTATAAAACATTGAGTTTACGGCTGGCTCCCATATGCATGCAAGCTCTTGATAGTTGATGACTCACTACCGAACATATAAACTGACTGCTGAAAAGGAACAGATTTGAGATGGTTTGTCATTTGCCGTTGGTTGCCTTTTTTTTTCTTACATAACTGTTTGTGATTATATCTAAGAACATATATTTGCCAACCTCTGGAGGAATGTTAAAAATTAAAGTGGATGATCTAATACTGTCCAATCGTGCATAGCTGGAGGCATTTAAAAAAAAAGGGACTCTGGTATTAGGCTCTGCAAAATGTAGTTGGCCATTCAGGAGTTGTGCAACTCTCTCTTGCAGTTTGAGCATCTTATACCCATTTTGTGGGTGTGCTCTCAGTGACACTGGACAGTGGTTGTATTGAGCCTCCAGCTGTCTCTGTGGCCATTTTAAAGGGAAAAGAGCCTGTAATTTACTTGGCTTACAATTCTAACCACAACATCAAGGAATAAGTTTTTTTTTTTTCTCCATGAGAGGTTTTCATTTGCAGAAACAAGTCCTGCTTCTAGTTATTAAATAGGATATTGCAAAATTATCTTCTTAAAACCTTTCCTTGAAGAATTTAGACTGTCAAAAATCATATCAGACGTAACCCTCATCTGTTAATTTAGCAGTTTGTTTTTGTAAGTTTTTTTTTTTTTTTTAAGTATCAATGTTGCTATATAAAATCTTTGGAGAAGCTTTCATGGCAGTTTGCTGTTGAGAACTATGGGTGGATTCAAATCATGTTTGTCGTTTTCCCATTCACAATGGCATTAGCAGTCATCTGATAGTTAAGTTATACTTAGTATATTGGAAGAAAAGATAGCAGAATGTGCATGTTAACTCAAGTCACAAATTATCCAAGTAATATTAGAAAACAGTGTTATGTAATAGGAATATAAATTCTTACAGATGATTTCTATCTTAGGACCTTGAGCCAATTTGGAACTAGTGCTATGCTTCTGTGAATCCATAAACTGGGCTATGTTTGAGAGTTAAGCTAATGTCTGACCCAACTACAAGACATTTGAAACTGCAGTAAAAGGACCCGGATTGTGGGGGCAATAAGCTGACTTTGTATAAAATATACAAAAGTATGAAGGCTATTGCTTAACGCATTGTAAGCCACCCTGAGTCTCCAGAGAAGGGTGGCATATAAATCAAATAAAAAATAATAATTAAAAAAATCAGATTTTCTTTTAACACTGGAGGTTTGTGGGACTTGTGGGCAGTTTAAAGATATTTTGTCACCATCTCTGGCCCCTCTTCAGCTCCCTTTTATATGACCGATTCTTTAAAAAAGTTTTATACTACTGTGGGAAGCTACCCCTCTCCTAGAAGAATGAAATATTTTGAGAAATATTTAAAAAGGCAGGATAAAATATTTCCCCTAAAAGAGTAATAAAAATTTTAAGGGAGACACAAACTCAGAGCCCCAGTTCCCTGCCCCTAGCAGATATTTTGAGCCCATTAAGAAAGACTGGGCCATCCTGTCTACAAAACACCTTCAACTCTAGGATGATGGGATTAAGACATAACCCTTCAGGACATAATAGGATTAACCCACTACCATCTAGCAACAGAGCTCACTTCATTGCACAATCTCCTAAGGACATTGCATCACCCTCCAAACTTCAACCAAACTTAGCTCAGACAATCTATGATCCTTACATAACCCTTACAACAGCCAATAGAATACATGCTCGTCCACAGGAACAGGAAACTCAAATGCAAAGCCCATGAAAAGGTATAAAGACCCCTCACTCTCAACTCCATATTGAGAGCTACTGTATCTAGAACCAAGTGCTTGGTGGTTCTGCTTCATCAATAAATGGGCCCTCTTTCCAATCAGCCTCCAGACTCCATTTTGTCTCCAGTGCCTTTCTCTTGACTTGGAACTGAACCAGATGGATATTTCTTCTAACATTGCCAAACTGAAAAGCAATTCCTAGTAGTTTACATCATAAGGATGTTGGAAGAGTTTGGATGTTGGGGCAATAGCAAACAATTTATTTCTGTTTTATTTGGATAAAGAGATTTTTGTTCCCTGAAGGACCTGGGTGTCAAGCCTGTAATTTTTGTGAAGTTGGTAGTTCAAGAACGCCATGCATGATTTTCAAATAGTTTTTGTAAGACTGAGGAGAAGTAGTGGTGAGATGGAAGTGTTCAGAGGGAGAGAGTTCTTTGTTCTCCAAGTTCTTGACTTACCACAATATAGAAAACCCTAAGGAAATATTTTATTGCAACACACACCTTCTCCAAATAATAGGCTATTGCTCCAGAATTGCATCATTTCCACCTTTGCAAGGTGATGTTGTCATGTAAATGTGTCTTTGATACAGTATTCAATCCTTATTCTGTCTGTTAACCCTCACTTTACACCCATTTTCCCACTCTTGTTTTAGAATTTGTTTTGTAACCTCAAGGTTACAAAACTGCAAGGTTAAGGGACACATTAAGCAAAAGCAAGATAAGTAAATTACATCATGGCTTTATACAATGTTTAATGTGATCTTGGAGCAGCAATACTGTCAGGTATTCTACAAAATAACTCAAAGGCCAAAAGTAAAGGACTGAAGAACTACCTTCAGTTGGGTTCTTCCAACCTATTCAGAAGATCTTTTTAAAAATGAGCCTATTTTAATGGTTGAGATATATTACTTACTGATTTAAATGGGGGAATTTAAAGGAGGCAAAGGTTGCTTTTGCACTTTACTTATTTTGCCAGTTAATCATGGCAACCTGTTTAGAGAAATTATTCAGAAAAGTCCTCCCTGAATGTTCTGCCTGAGAGTGGTATCAGGTGCACAAACAAAGGGTAGTCAGTCAAAGATTCTATTCCTAAGCAAGGTGAAGAAAAACTTCTGCCTCTGGTAACAAGAATTGGAGGTTTTGGCCAGTGTTATTCCATCTATTTCAAAGAAGAGTGCCTTAAAGCAAAAGAGCTCTAGATATGCTTAAGGCTTAATAGAACTTTATGATCATTCTGTACTATCTGAAAAAAAAATAACCTGTACCTGAATAAAATAACTGAAGTGAAGTTTGTGTGTATGTGAGAGAGAGGGTGAGGGAGGGAGAGAGGGAGAGAGATCCAGTTACCAAAGTGCCAGAGTGGTTTGCAATGGAAAAATCCATTTTTGTTTTAAATCTGAACATAATTTTTCTTCCATTACCATCCGACCCACTCTATCTTCAATAGTCTAATTGAGGATGATCTAGAACTAATTTATATTTAATAAATTTGAACTGGTGTCTAAAATCTTCAGTTCTTGATATCAACATGATGGTTTGTATAACTCCAATTTTAATAAATTTAGATTGCAGTAGCAATATTGGCTTAATTATAATCTGAGCATCAATACCATATCACATGTGTTTTTATCCTAGACTTGCAAATTAAGTTGCTCTGAATTGTAAGAATAGGACTTTTTTCAAGTAAATGGTTAGAATTAGAACTCATTGATTGACTTTCAGAAATCCAAAGTGTATTAAAAGTTAAATGTCTTCTAGAAACATGAGCCTTGTAGACTTACAAAATTATTTACTATTTTAATCAAATTGATTCTAATCACTCAGGCAAGTACTTCTACATCAGCAGCAATGTTTAAAGATGGTCTGTTTTTCTGACTTTACTCCTGGTTTTTTTTAAGATGGGGAGTGTATTTTTCAGTGCTAATGCTGGTATCATGCATATCATATTCTAAGCTACTTGTAAGCACTGCATGAAAAATCTAGTTTAAGAATTTTAAATTCTTGAGGGGGGAAAATCACATCCTTGGGAAGCATTCAAAGCTAAGACCATCATCTTCTGTGCCTTTAAACAGGATAAAAACCAATTATGGACAATTACAGAAGAACCAGAATGGCTTAGGTGATGAAACATGTCATGCTGCAAATATTGGACTGACTTACCTGTGTGGAAATTGAGATTCAAATACTGTGTGTATTATCAAGTTTGCATCATTTGGTTTTGCAATCACTACAGGAACCAATTATATATTTATATACTCATGGCCCAAATGTTTTAGTTTCATAGTTTATAGAGGCCTAATTTAAAGCTTCATTGTGAGTTTTTAACATTTTCTATATTGCACTAGATTTCTATATACAGTATATGCTAATGTTCACCATGTTTCCATGTAGTTTAGATTATTTTTTTAGCAGGAATATTTCAATATTGATATATACTTTGTCAATTTTTATGCTACAAATATGTGATGTACTTCCAGAAGTATGTGAATAGCTATAGCACCTATGTGAAAAATATATGAATTATATTGTTGTTTTTCTTAATGATATCTGTTTTTTAATATTACATTTTCAAAATGCTAATCAAATTGTTAGTCAATTCACACTTAACATATAACCTTAAATTTAAATTGTTCACTAAAAACCTCAAAATAAAAATGTTGTGGATCAATTTAGAGTTTTTATTTTACACTGTTTCTTGAAATTTTAGAATTTGGATGAATAGAGAAGGCAAAATACTGTGAGGAATACCGTACATCAAAATCAACTTTTGGAAGGGACATTAATAAAGCAACTCGCTTATCTATCTCTTTTCAAGCAAGCTTTTCTTCTGTTTTTCAGATTACAGAAAAACAAAACTAGATTAAAGATTAGGAGAGATGAACTAATATAGTCTAGCTGCTTTGACAAAAGAAATACTTATTTCAGGATCTTATAAAAAGTTTATTTATTTATAAATAAAATTTTATGCAAAAAACTGGCACAATTTGTTGTGTTTTTTCTCATTTTTACAGAGAATCTACATGGGAAATACGAAGTGTATCATATCAAAATATTAAAATAAGACTTACATCAAGGAAAGCGTAAGGAATCATATATTGTTCAACAGCTAAAATGTTATTGTTGGAGATATAGAAGATGAACAATTCTCACTCATAGTGTAAATAAGTCATTTAAGTGGGTTTATCTGGGTTCTATCAAGTGCACTTAAGTCTGCATTGGATGGTGGAAAATGAAGAGTGGGGCCCTTAATAAAGTTCATGAAGGGCAGCAAGTAACAACTGCCAACACAAACAGGAGGAATGATTGTACTTTTTGTGATTGTCAACCAATGGCAAATTGGTAAATAACATTACTAAATTCACACAAATGGTACACCTGTGTGATGTATGATCATCTGGCAAAGGATGGTTGCTGGTAACAACATATTTCGATCTTCAGCTTCATTTCCACTGAATGAAAAGATGGTACAAGAATGTAGGACCAATCCAATTTATTTATTTATTTTATTTATTTGTAAAAATTTAATGGCCGCCCATTTCCCTTGTTGCTTTATAACTTTATACACAATCATAATACTGGAATATTCAAATGTGCATTGTTTAATCCTGTAGAAATCAATGTAGTATATTGTCCTAAATATAATTATGTTGAGCACAATAGGCTGTGATCAGTGGTGGAATTCAATTTTTTTTACTACCGGTTCTGTGGGCGTGGCTTGGTGGGTGTGGCAGGGGAAGGATATTGCAAAATCTCCATTCCTACCCTACTCTGGGGCCAGCCCAGGTCAGTTCGCCCGAACCAGTAGTAAAAAATGCTACTGGTTCACCGAACTGGTAGTAAAAAAATGTAAAGAAAAAAGTTCCGTCGATCAGCTGAGCGATGTGCGATTGTCGGAACCTTTTTTTACTTTTTAAAGCATTTTTTTTACTACCAGTTCGGGCAATCACATGGCACAGCTGTGATCATCGAAACCTTTTTTTTTACTTTTTAAAAGCATTTTTCACTACCTATTTACTTGAACCGGTAGTAAAAAATGCTTTAAAAAGGTTTTTAAAAAGATTTCCAAGATCGCGTGCCACAGCTGATTCCCCCCGGTTGTTCTACTTACTTTCCCAAGCCTCCTTTTGGTGTGAACTGTGCATGCACGCATGTACAGCGCACTCTTGGGGTGCAGCACGCATGCGCAGCCAACAAACCGGTACCAAACCGGTTCAGATTTCACCACTGGCCTAGCCAGAAGTGGTATTTGCCGGTTCTCCAAACTACTCAAAATTTCTGCTATCGGTTCTCCAGAACCTGTCAGAACCTGCAGAATAGCACCCCTGGCAGCAGGGCCGGATTTTCCTATAGGCTAACTAGGCTTCAGCCTAGGGCCTCAAGATCAAGAGGGGCCTACATTCAAATTGTTAGCAAAATTAAAATTACACTTTCACTATAGGTGAAAGGGCCTCATAAGTGGAATAGCCTAGGGCCTCTTTTCATCGAAATCCGGCCCTGTCTGGCAGTAATCATACTTTTGTTTTCTTCCTAGAATTTTCCTACAAGTGCAGGGTTTGCTTTTTTTCAGATCAACTGAATGTTGATCCATTGGTTGTGACCTGAATTGACCAACTGGCTTGTCACCCAAACCTGACATTGTGGGCTTAGAGAGGGTGACTGGCCATAAGCCACCTAGCCAGGTTTCATGTCTGAGATGGGACTAGAACTCATGGTTTCTAGCCTGATGCTTTATCCACTAGACTAAACCAAACTAGTTCTCGGGCTATTATCACACTATTATATATAGTCATCTTATAATTATATGATATCTTATAATATTAAATTGTATAATATATAATTATAATAGCTTTAATTATAAGATAGCTTTATAATTCTGAATTCAGTTTTGATTTTCTTCAGGCTGAATCTTACCCAGATTTCATAGTTTTAATGGGGCAAGAATATCACTTTGACAATAAAAAAAAAATAGAGAGAAAGCCAGAAAGAAATAACAATCTACATTTTTAAAATATATTTAGATAGCATAAAAAAGTAAAAGATCTCTCTCAACTTCATTTCAGAATTTAAAATTCTGCTTCACCTTCAGATCTAACTCACAAACCAGCTGCACTGGGACAGGATGACTGGAAAGACTTGGGGACACAAGCATATTATTTCAATTGATTAACAAAAATAATGTCTATGTGTACAGGTAATCCTCAATTTACAACATTTCATTTAAGGACTGTTCAAAGTTACACCAACACTGAAAAAAGTGACTTATGACTGTTTTTCACACTTACAACTGTTGTGGCATGTGATCAAAATTCAGAGGCTTGGCAACTGGCATTTATTTATTTATTTATTTATTTATTTATTTATTTATTTATTTGTTTGTTTGTTTGTTTGTTTATTTATTTATTTATTTATTTATTTATTTATTTATTTATTTATTTAATTTGTATACCGCCCTACTCCCGAAGGACTCAGGGCAGTGAACAGCCATAAAAATAAAACATGTAAATACAAAATTTAAAATAGAGATAAAACCGATTAAATAAATTTGGCTGAACCATTTATATAACCATATTTATGACAGTTGCAATGTCCCAGAGTCAGGTGATCACATTTTGTGACCTTAAATGGGGAAGCCAGATTCACTTAACAACTGTGCGACTAACTTAACACATGCAGTGATTCTCTTAACAACTGTGGACAAGAAAGGTCGTAAAATGGTGCAAAATCCACTTAACACACGTCTCACTTAACAACAAATTTGGGGTTCAACTGTGGTCGTAAGTTGAAGATTACCTATATTTACCCATGTAGTATGGCTGCAATATTATTATTTATCCTTCTTATCTTCTTTACTCACCCTCCCTTATTGGTCTTATTATGATTATCATTATTCCGTAGCTTTGCATGTACACTGAGAGCTTCTGCACCAGAGACAAATTCCTTATGTGTCTAATCACATGTGGCCAAATAAAGTGTTCAATTCAATTTAAAAAGTATGCTAGCATTAAATTGCCTGCTTGATAGCTAAACCCTATCCTAACAGAAACAAAGTTGGTAAAGGATGATGTCCCTGTAGCCTTAATGCAGGAATAATTTCAGGAAAGCAACTGGTGGAGTCCTCCAATTTTTCCCCTAACAAGCATCATTTGACAACAGGAAAAGCCACCAACAGCTTTTCTGAACCTGGGAATATCAGGAGACTTTCATCCTACTTATCCCTGCATCTCTACTCCAGGTCTGTGACCTGTCATTTGGGCTAATGGACACTTAGATGACATGGGCTGAAGTAACTAACAAGTAACTAACAATGCCAAACTCTGTCCTTGACTGATGTTAAGAGTCCTAGAATGGGCAAATTCCACCAAAGTAGTAAAAAGTAAAAACTCTACCAAAGTAATAAAAAAGTAAAAGCAAAGCCATGCATAACTTCTTGTTGGTAGCAGCAGTGGGGAACTCATTAGTAGCAAGATCAGCAACACAAATTCTCTAAAAAGATGTTGAGATTCTAGAAAGAGTGCAGAGAAGAGCAACAAAGAGGATTAGGGGACTCGAGGATAAAACATATACAGAACAGTTGCTGGAACCGGATGAAGGACAAGGGGTGATAGCAGTGTTCTAATATCTCAGGGGCTGCCACAAAGAAGAAGGAGTCAAGCATTTCTCCAAAGCACCTGAGGGCAAGACAAGAAGCAATAGGTGGAAACTAATCAAGGAGAGAAGCAACTTAGAACTAAGGACAAATTTCCTGACATTTAGAATAATTAATCAGTGGAACAACTTGCCTCCAGAAATTGTGAATGCTCCAACACTGGAAGTTTTTAAGAAGATGTTGGATATCCATTTGTCGGAAGTGGTGTAAGGTTTCCTGCCTAAGCAGGGGGTTGGACTAGAAGACCTCCAAGATCCCTTTCAACTCTGTTATTCTATTCTAACCCTCCTCTGTTTACTGATTTGAATCAACTTTCTCTGTATCACAGATCTCCTCCTGTTTTTTAAAGCCTAGGTCTAGTACTTATCCATATAAGAAGTCTGCACAGTACTTGACACAGTGCTTCAAAAAGTGTTACTCTTGCATTTCATAAGCAGATGCCTCTATGGAAGCCAGATGTTCATCCACTTCCGATAGCCATGCCAAAATGGAACAGCGCCCAGCAACAAGAAGTGAAAGATTAATGCAATTAATAGGGGCTGGGTAGATCCAAACTCTTGATACATCAGCAGTTATTATCATTGATGAAGCCTGCTAGATCATATAGATGATCACATACAAAATTTCTATTGAGAGAAGAAAAAAACCCTCTAACTTAAAACTAGACTCACCAAAAATAATGTTACGCTGCCTCAGCTCTGGGCTGGAATGAAATGTAAATGAAGGCAACATCACTAGAACATGTCATATAAAAATAGTGACCAGAGTATAGTTAGGTGTAAATAGAGAGCTGTGAAAAGGAACTCTGAGATAACTTGCACCTTATAATTATTAAAAGAAATCAAGACTTTCAGACATTATGTCTGTTTCTTTTAATGCCTCATTTCAATTTTAGTACAAGGTTATTTCAAAACACTTTGCTCTCCCAGACAAAATGGCCTTGTTTCCATGTTGCATATACAAGTAGCAGCTGGACGACTAGTTGAATTTACATCAATACTGTTGACAGAACAGCCTTACCT